GTAAGGTCAAGAGCTGCGATTGACAGCCTTTTCGATGGGTTGGGGGTCTTCGTCTGTGTCCTTGTTTACGTTATCAAGCATTCCACCGTGTGCTCCGATGCTTGACACGAGGCCTGCCAGGCTGCCCCTCCCCCTTCCTTACTCTCGGACCCCTGGCCTTGTCTTTGCTGCAGGTGGACGAAAAGAGGCTTGCTGATGACATAGGTAAGACAGCGTCCAAATCTCAAAATGTTTCGTAGTGGATGGGATTAATGGGGAACGTTGTTCTCGACTCCTCTTCTACGGGTCGTGAAGTAGTATATGCTAGACATCCGTACGCCGGGACCGGGACGGGGGCGAGGAGACGCAGACGCAGAGATGCACGACATGATACGCGTGTTTTGAGGCTTTTGAACCTGCACCAGGTCGGAATAGGGAGACGAGAGGGATGCTGTGGGGAGAATAAGGAGAGGACTCACCAAATTCATGTTCAGATCTGACTGTGTTCAATACCTAGAGTTACCACACGACGTCAACTTGTTACAGATGTACAAAATCTTGTGGGTCGAGCTAGTAGGCTGGAGATGAGTGCGAGAGGTACCCTGGACTTGGATAGTGTCTATCGATGCATCATTGTTATAGCTTTGTGAATCGTGCGAGTAGCAGCGATAGCCGGCTTGCAAGAGTTGTGTTGAGAGACATGCATGAATCCTGACGATAAATTGGTTCTAGGCCTCGCGTGCATTTGGAGAGGGGGTTGCGATTGTATGCAACGTCTGCAACGCCTTGATTCATGCCGGAATTCGTCAGTGGTAAATCCGTCATCCAGAGTGAGTTGTGACAACATGCGACATAGGACCAATGGTAGCTCAGAATTGGGTCTGCTGAATGACTTATGCTTTGAAGGAAGAAAATTCTTGAAAAAATATTTCAACACTGGCGACTCTTGTTGGTCCATCGAGGATTCTTCTCCAATTCATGGTGCCACACTCTCCAGCGTGAGGTAATGGGGAGCGAGCCAATGCGACGGCATGAGTCAAGACGCATTGGGGATGACGGCGACCAAGAGTCCGTAGGAACATCAGCGGGAATACGGCAAGTAAGGCACGAAGTCGTGCACGAATAGGTACGCGAAATCGGATAGGTAAGAGAAGGCGATTTTGGTTTGATCTGTCAAATGTGTCAAAAGTGGCGGCCGTGGGTTGCCAATCGACGACGGAGCAAGACCGGGCGAACAAGCTTGGGTTGGCCACTGACAAGCGCCGACAGCGCGAGGGAAAAACAAAGGCCTAGATTTGATGGAGACGGATTTGTGGTTCTTGGAGCTGAGACCGAGGACGAGGATGATGATGATAAGACGGCCTTGCTAGCTTGGTGGCTCTACTTGATCAGTACAGGTATTTTCATGGTGCAGCGGCAGAAAGAGGAAATAGAGGTGCAATGATAAGCTGGCGGAGCATGCTCACTTAGTAGGTACTGTAGCACTGTAGCAAGCAAGCATGCATGGCATGGCATGGCATGGAAGGGCGATTACTGCGTACACTACTCCGTACGCCGCAGAGGGCGGCGACATTCGAGAGTCGAGCTTGGATGGAACCACACCTCAGGTGCGCACGGCCTTTGATCTTTCACGGCCTGCACTGGCGTTAGGTTGTGTTATGATTGCCATTTGTCGTCGGTTTCGTCGTCGACGTCGAGGATAATGATGATGTGGTTGCGAGGGACGCTTATCGGCTTGACGCGGCTGGACGTAAGTGCTGGCTGGGGATCGTGACATAAATGACAAAGTGGGTGGTGGATGGTTCTGTGTGGATTTCAACATGGGAGAATCCAAGCATCCAAGATGCCCGAGACGATCGAGGCCCTCGGACTGTAGTGTGGCCAGAGCAGCAACAAGCTGACGGGTGGTTCCTGCCAAAAAGACAACCGCCGAACGGTACGGGCGTTGAGGTACTTCGTACCTTCCAAGTTACTCAAAGTGTCCCTGCCTTATCCGTAAGGTCAGGTCCTCTAGACAGGCTCCTACCTAGAGCAAAAGGAAATTGTACGTATCTGTACACAAGAGTTACGGGCCTCCCATCCTCCGAGGAAACGGGCACTGGACGGGACCTGCTGAATTTGGCTCCCGATGAAGAACAGCCGCCAAGCTTTAGTAAGCGAACTGGTATTTCTGTGCCTCAGGCCAAAGAAGGAGACAGAGCAGCCGCAGAGCCCAGCAATTGAGAGACCAAGGATTTCAACAACAATTCAAGACTACTTGTGCGGGTGATGACGACCCTGCACTCCATTTCTGGAGAGAAAAAAAATAGGGAAGGCAAGGCAGGAAAAGGCAAAGGTGACTGTAGTAGGAGGGGCAGGGACTGTGGAGGAGATGGACAACATTGAATAATCAAGGCTTAGTTAAGCCAGGAGCAGGGAAATGGGAGGAAATCAACGAAACAAAAAAGATACCTGCGGGTTCCTCGACGCACAGGCGGCCGCGGTACCTTCACAGATCGGGCAAGTATCTTTTTGTCCCAGTCTTGGCGCTCGTCTGTTCTGACCCTCACGAAACGAACGGCAACGGACCCCAGCGGCTAAGGTAAGGCAGGGCCACAATGTATCGACGGATAGATTTCATCTCAAAGACAAAATAACCACAGACATTTTGCATTTGGCCCTCCGTCCCGGCCCCATTGTCTCGCACAGACAGAAACAGAGAGAGAGAGAGAGAGAGAGAGAGGGAAAGAGAGCCCGGGTGGGGAGACGGACACGCAACCGCAACTGCAGTCACAACCGCAGCCGCTGTTGGTGGTGCAGGTGCAAGTTGCCATTTGCCAGTTGCAGCTCCAAGATGGCAATATCTGCAAAATGCAAATCGTCAGGCCCTTTGGCCAAGTCGAAACGCGCAATCCCCTCTCCACCGGCAATCACATCTCAGCTTTTTCTTCTTCCCCTCGTTCTCGCCGACATAACTTGGACCTCGCATCATCACATCATGTCATCTTGTGCGGCGCGCCTACATACCTACCTTATCCTCTTTGTAGCTACTTGCCCGCTGCGGCGCTGCAACTGCAAAACCAGTCCCTTTCTCTCTTCCCCTCCTCTCGCCCTCCCCTCTCTCCACTTTCATTGTGCATATCCCCGTTTGGGTCAGCGACTCGGACCAGGACTGAAGCCAAGACGACATGGGCTTTCCTCAATGTGACCCTCCCCTACGAGCCAGTGCGCTTATCCGCTTCTCGTCGGACCTGCGTCTGCACCACCCATGCGAGCCAGGGTTGCCAGGGTCATCGCTTCTTTTTCTTTTTGTCAAAGAACAGAAGGGGGGTGGACAAACTGGCCAATCAGCGAAGCCATGACATTTTCAATTCTCATCGTCTGTCTCTTTCTCTCTCTCGCTCTCAAAAGTAACATCAATCTATCTACACCATGTTCCGCTCCTGCTGTACTGTGTGAACACACCACTTATCCTTGCCGGGGACTACGATATACCACAAGGCTACGGATAGACACGTCGGTTTCCGCAACTAGGACCAAGCATCAGTGCACATCACGGCCATCCTCCGCCGCCGCTAACTCGGTCTTTGAACCTTTCTAGCATCCAGAGGAACCATCACTCTCGCCGCTCCCACGCTTAATTCCTCTTAGCAGAAGGGAGGCTCTGCTCCGTTCGAGCCCACGGGATTTGGACCGCCCGTCGCAATATACCTACCTTACGATATGGCAAACTCGAAAAGTACACGATACTACATAATTGAGCTGCGGCAGACTCGAGCAAGGGTGAGCAGCAAAGCTCTGCATTTACGACGTTACCATGTTACTGGCCCTGGCTGGTCGGTCGTCAAAGCCTAAAACAGAAATGTCGCCAACTCAACCAACGATCCCGACTGAGCACACCTTGCCTCACCTCATCTCACCTTGACAGTATCTCTGTGCCTCAATACCACTCGAAGCTGTTCCGCATCAGGAAGCCACATTCCGAAAGTCACCTCTCCAGGGGCGCCACTATTACCTGAGCATGAATCGCCATTGTCATACGGGTCATGAGCTTCAAGTTCATCGCAGTGCCGCAGTCAGCACGGATACGGATTATGCGAACGGGGTACGGATCCGTACGGGCATCTTGGGGACAAAAAAACCCTAGCCCTGACCCTCGTCACGATCCTCCGCGCTCCCAGAGTATAGAGGCTGATCATGGCCGAAGCTCGGCGGAGTCGATCTAGCCAAGTGGGTCAGCGTCGTCTTCGCGCCGCCCGTCTATCCCGTCTTGCCGACACGTAGACGGAGACTTTCGGATACTATAACAAAGTACGGGCGTGCTTATAAGTGCCCAACAAGTCATCATTTCTGAGAAACTATAGGCTCTCTTGCTACAGATACACTCCATGCGGCCAGGACATCGAATGACACGGGAATAAGGACGGCATCGTTGAGAAAGGATTTGTGCCCCGTCTTCGTTGCTAGGCCCCGTCCTGTGACACTGGATCTGCGGCTGCGCAACCATGGTTGACATCAACATGCATCGCAATCGTTCATGCTCGCAGCCCGAGATCCGCCGGGGAAGCACCTCGTGCGATCCAGGCCGCGTCTCGCGCCTGTAGTGCACAGCACTATACCACACCTGCCTGTCAGCAATCTGCTCTCCGCAAACTTTGTCCGTCGCAAGCCCGGATGGACAGGCTCACGATCTTCCCGCCCTCGCGTCGATTTGAGAGGCCTGGTTCGGAGGAGGGGGTGGATGGAGGCTTGCTGGTGGGTTTCGTTGACTTTCGACTCCGTGCCTAGTCAACCCCGCAAGATAGCATCATTCCATCACGACATCGACCGGGCCAGCTCTTCTTCAGCGACCAGGGGGGGTTCCTACACTAGGACAGAACCCATGTAATCGTCCAGTGTCCACCGCGGACTTATGGAGAACATAAGCCACGTCAACCAAGAACATTAGAGAATTGGCAGAGCTCCGTCTCGAAAATATCCCGGCCCAGGAGGGGGAACCCACTCGCGCTTCTTGGTTCGCTGTAACCTCAGCGCCCACTATCATGCAGGTTCAAGAGGCTCGGAACCAACAATGGCAGAGGCAATCCGACCATCAAGAGGTCATCAGCAATCCCTCGATCCACACAAGCGATCTTCGGTCTTTGCAAGCCGTTGAAGAATTTCATGTCGCCGCAAGGGTCCTATGCCAGTTGCGCGATGCCATATCAAATTACAATGGCGAGATCGTCCGATCTTGTCCAATGAGCTTTACTATTGCTGCTAGGTCTGTCCGGGCAACAGAGAGCGCAATGCGACAACGAGTCTTCGCACAAAACGCAAAAGTGATGAGCCTCCTCATTGGGAAAAGCGATATCACGTACAAAAGAAGTCAAAGCCGAAAGAAGTGCGCCAAGCGGCGCTGCTGGTGGACGTCTTGGCCCGTTGGTTCAGCCTATTCGAGCATCTTGGCCACTAGCTGCAGAAAAAGGCGCCATGGATATCCACACGCTATATTCATACGCTCACGATGAAGAAGAGGAGGACCCGTTGACGGAGGGTATGCCCAGGACCGATGCCACCAATGAACAGGCCTACGAGACCAGCCTCTTCGAGGTACAAGCGCGGTACTGGGCATGTACCTTTCCTGGTCTATTCCAGGGAATGCCCCAGAAATCACCAGGCAGTGTCGATAGATTCAACACCAAGATTCCTGCATCCCTCGAGCGTGCGACAGCTTGAAGCCGATCCCCACCAGTTAATCGGTTACAAGCTACTGCTGCTTCGGTGTAGAAATTGTTGAGTTGGTCATCAATTTACTAACCTTATCAAAACCAGCAAATGGCCAAAAATCAGAGACAGCAATCGACACAGTCTGGCCCTGGAAGCTGAATATTGCATTTCATTCCACTTCTAGAAGCATGCCGTCACCTTTGCTTTCCGGCCCCCACGCAAAACCACACCAATTGAGTTGGCTCACGGTTATTTCCCTCTCGACGGGAGCCTCAATACAAGAGACTGGTCATGAACCGGAGACCCATGCCGAGCCCGCACACCCATTCTACAACCATATCCACAATTGATATTTCATTGTAACATCTGCTGGCAAATGGGGGCCGAATGGTTTTGAGCCCGTTTCGCCAGCGACTCAATCTACAACTCCAGATAGTGCTTGAGCATAACGGACAGTGTTATCGCAAGAACTAGGACGATTGTCATAATAATTGTAGCCATTGTCGCCATGTTCTCAACGCGGTCCGAGCGAGCCATAATCCCGACCGGTGCAGGTTTTCCATCGCGGCTGCGGCGTCCGCCGCTTATTTTTATTTCTTTTACCATGAGGGGTTAACTGAAGCCAAACAAATGGGTCATGAACAGGAACTCTGTCAATTTTGCACTGCCAGGGAACGGGGATGGGGATTATTGAAACAAACACACCCTGGAGGGGCCACACGACTGGCGTTAGGACCGGCCGAGGCCTGGCCGAGCTGGGCGGAATCGACGTCGTTATGCTGAAGAATCGACCAAAACGAAGAACAGGCTGTCCGACTGACAGGACCCTGCGAGTGCGTCCGAGTGGATGGAGCCACGCCCCAGCGTCTCAACAAGCCCCCAAGCTCTCGGTGTGAACCTATCATCCGATGAGAACGCGCGCGTATCACACAGACACACACAACCCCTCCCCCACCACCTCCGAGGGAGTGGAGTGCTGAGGTTGGTGGTTGTCGAACCTCGAATGATGGGGTCTCTCTTGCTTTGCTGCTGTCTCCAGACAACGAAGAAGAGGGTGCGTGGCTGTACGTTGGGAGCTTGCAAACAGAAGCCAGATTGTCAAGCAAGGCCCGGGCGTACATGATGCAGGATTTCTTGCATCAAAGGCTCTAGGGACCTCCGAGTGTCCACCCGCTGCGGGACAATAGCCAAACTTGGTGAGATGGATGGCCTGACAGTGTGGAGAGCAATAACGGAGGCGCATGCGCCTCTGCTCTCGTACCCGTTGGCACGAAAGTCAAGGCAACGAGCGAAGTTTCGCGGAATATCGTGAGCTCGATACAGTTCTTGGCGAACATCTCAAACAAGAGCCGAGATAAGGCGACAAGAGACCGTGTCTCGTGGCTCGTATTTGGAGTCACATGCTGACGGCCTCACGACCTGATATGACCATCGTGGACGACACATTGGAAAGGCTCAACACCATTTTACTTGTGACCATTGGTCGCCACGGAGCAGAGAACAGCGCAGAAACTGGAATGCCGGTAGATACGCGATGCAACAATGGGCCCACGATCTGGCCGCCGCATTAAATAGGTACTGCTACATGACGAAGCGCCTTTGATGGGAGAAGAAGCCTATCTTTCTCAGGACACTCGCTGGCCACGGTGTTGCCTATTCGGTACGTTGGTCGAAGCGGCAGACAGATGTAAAATGGGACACCTTCGTTTTCCAATGGTGCCATGGGGGCTAAGGCGATGTGGCATATGCATGTCTTCGATGAGGCAGCCGCGCTTGTGTAGGCGATGCGACCGAAGCGACTGAAGGAAGACACACAGGCATTTGGCAAGATTTGTCCAGCATCAAGAGCATTCTGACATGTGCGTTGGTTACATGGGACTGAGAGGGAGAGAGATAGAGTTTTCGCGATGGACGAATTGGGAATCGAGGCCGAGTGCGATTGGGAAGTTGGATGGCGGTTGCAACGGGGGTCCTCATCCCCCGCGGGGAAGCGATCTGGCTGGTGGTGATGGGGCTGGAACGTGGGGAACGATCGTCTTCTGGTGAGTGTCTGTGGGATTTGAGCCGCTGTCGATCTCTCACATGCTTTCTTTTTCTGATCTTTTTTCTCTTCTTTTTTCACTCTTTTTCTCTTTTTGGCCTTCTTCACTATGCCAAGGAAATCGGCAAGGCGTTCTCGCATGATTTACATTTCCACCTGCCCGCCGAATTTCCTTCCCAAAGCCGAACTGAGTGGCTTTTGAAGAAGCAGGCCAAGGCGGCCAAGTGGAGATTTTTAAGTCGAAGACCACGCGAGCTCGAGTGAGTCCAGGCGTATAGCGTGCCAATCAATGGCTTTGAAGCGGTTTTCCCCTTCAACTATTTGGCTTCGTGGCTGCCTTCGGGCTGCAGAAGGCCCGAGATTATGGATCAATCGCTCCGTCGCTGCTTCCATCCTTGTGTGCCAAAAGCTGGGACCGGGTCGGAAAAGATGGCTGCATTGCTGCGGTTGAAAAAGTCGGAAGAGGAAGAAGAAAAATGTCTCAAGGAGACTAGACATACGGCGCGGGGATACTAAGAGGTTTAAAGCATGTGAAGCTTTCGGGGGAACACTGTAGCGAGGCCTCCTCAGTTCAACAGAAAAGTAAGGTAAGGTCAAGGTTATTCAACGGGCCGCCACTCCTTTTGACTTACCTGAGTCCGGCATTAGCGTCGTCGCTGGACCTTTGGCTCTGCGGGTGCAGGTTTCGGTGGCTTTTTTTGTCTTTTCAGCTTTTTTTTAATCACACCGTTCCTTGGGGTCTTTTTAGAGAGCTCTCTTTCCTTCTGGGTTCTTTTGGCGTCATTACCGCCGTTTTGACCTGTGGCATGGCCAGCGAGTATACGTGAGCCCTGCAGAATATCAGCATCACCACATGCCTCGACCCAGCCACAAACGACGATATTGGGGAATGTGATAGGTATGGATGAGGGGGACGAACCAAGTGACCCTGCGCCCTTGCCTGCCGCATACCAGGGCCCGCATCGTTGGACGATTTTGACGCCTGACGCTTTGCTTTTCTGCTGAGGGGGGTTGGGATGTGCCTGGGTTTGGAGATCGGATGTGTAAGGTTTTGAAGGGGCAAACGCGAGAGATGTCGTCAGATCCAGCCAGTTGAGTGCGGTCGAGGAACACCGGTCTGGATTAGTGTTTGTAGGTACCCTCTCCGAGACGACGGGCCGTTGGGGACTTGGCTTTTGGTGATGAACTTTGGAAGTAGGTAAGAGCGAAAGGTTTAATGTTTTTGGATGGGTGAGAGGCAGGACCCGGCAAGTCGATGGTCATGGTGATGAGGTTGTTGATAGGTTTGGTATTCATTGGATAGAAGGAATGCCTTGTATGGCATTGACCTTATGGTAGGCGCCAGACTTCTGCGTGACTTGACTTTTGAGATCGTGGTGTTCGGCATGAGTTCCGGTTTCTTAGTTATCAGGAATCTCAAGTCAGTAACCTGTAAGCTGTAAAGATATAGAAGGTATAGTCTTCTTCAGTAGCCTCAAGGTGATTATTTCTAGCGGGAGAGTTCGTAGGATTCATCAACATTCTGATACAGCAGACGTGATCCAGTTTGGCAATGTTTAAAGTGGTTGGGAAGATGTCCTGACACTTGCAGGGATGTTCACAGTTTCTCAGTTTAAGTACGTGGCAACTGATGCAATCACACGAATACATAGAGGTAAGGTATGTAGGAGTGTGATTGCTACCTAAACACCATACGGCAGGCCCTTTTCGTCTCATCTACACAAAGTCAACTTTCTTCCGTGCAGCCTTTTTGCCCGACAACGGTTGTCGAGAATGGTCTGCCGCCGCGTTCCGAGATCCCTCTCCTGAAATCATGTTTGAGACTGGAATGTATATACCAGCAGCTTCATCGCCGTCCGTGCTGTTGTTGGCGGGTAGACGAGTACGTAGATGCCAAGTACCAGCCGATGGAGGCTGGCATTGGGGCTTGATCCCGGGTATTTCCTAGTGATGGTGGACAGTCCCCTTCTTACTGGATGAATTTGCGATTTTGACTAAGGTAGTAGGGTCAGTGGAAGCAGGTGCCTTGCGCGTTTGGTTCTATGTGTGTAGTACTTGATATCTCGGGATCTTGAAGGGCATCGATTCTGCATATTTAGGTACTTTCCCGGGAAGAGCCTTACAGCGGATGGCTGGTGGGACGCTGAATGTTGTTGATGTCTTCGGCACTGCACTTGTGAGATTCGAACTGTTGTTGTTCTTGTGTTTCGTTTGGTATCGAGCCATTCACGCAGGGTCGGTGACTCAAGAAGGAGGAGGTTCTTAGGAGACTTATTAGAGAGGGGCGTAGGTAGAGAACCTTCCAAACGAGAAAGAGGGGACAAGTTGGGGGCTGTATATCTGCTGAAAGGGTGCCGATTGAAAAGTGTCGAGATTGTTACACGAGATATGTGCGTATATCGCGGAGAGCATGAGGAGGGGCGGTGAGATGGCAAAAGTGTTTTGTCATCCTAGCTGAGTATTTGACCCTCTTCTGAAAAGGGGCATTCTGAACTGTCAGCTTCCATGAGGTTTTAGACTCTCAGGGACTGAATTGTTTACAGTCCTTGGGAAACCTGAATTTTCGGTCTGCGAAGAACTGAGGTTTAAGCCAGAGAGTGGTGAGAGATGTGGCTCTCGAACCGTCTATTTCGAGCGGCCTCAACTTGTTCGTCCACTAGCCTATGGCATGGACTTAGCATGTGTCCTCTTCCTCTGACTGGATTGGAAACACGGGTCTGGCGATCCAAGATACCACGGCGTTGTCGCCGACGTCTCTTATGTTGAGTCTTGTCGCTTTCAATTATATGATAGGCTTTATTAGCCCCTTTTGTTATAGTACCTCACGTATTACCGCGACGGCTGATTGTTAGACATGATTCTGACTGTGCTCCTTTTCTGCAAAGTATTGCCAAATTGACTTACCCTTACATGACATGTGTAATAAAAGATTTCCCGCTTTTAGGCTCTGGGACGTTGTCAGCCACATGAGGCTTCTCTCTCGCGATATCAATCTGATTCCCTCCTTGTCAGGAGTCAGATGAGAAAGTGCGAAATATTTGTTAAGACCCAGTGAAGCTACGTGAATGAACTGACTAGCTCACATTAACGAGGCGAAATCTACTGAAACTGGTCTCTAAAGTAGGGTTGATGTGGTTAATTACTGTGAGGCATGATCTACTTTGATGCCAGAGAAAGGGGAGCTCGGCAGTGAAATACCTTGAGAACAGTGTCTGAGAATAACTGTGAGGATCGTGTGTTCTTCATATTCTCAAGGTCAGAACGGCGGTCCCATATATCAAGCTAGTCCGGCACTTTTCTTTTGCGAATCAAGTTAAATGGGCGGAACTTTCCTTGCGATGATGTCAAACTCGGTTGTCTGTTTTGGGAAGATGGCGCTGATTCCTACTATTGGAAATCGAATTTACTCCATCTCCTGCGTCTGCGAAATGGTTTTCTCTTCCATCATTCGATTGCCTGTGCGACGCCAGTTTCCAAGCGGTTGTAGTGATACTCGTAATGCTTCTGGAACAGCCCACAAGAGATCACATGGTCTTGCCCGTCGTATGCGGGTGAGATGAGACCAAGAGCTCACCTATCTTACAGTCAAATCAGCAAGCAATTTTGATCGAGGGTCATTCGACACATTAATCGGACTATTGATCTTGCTCGATCATGGTAGCCTACAATTCGTAAGTCTTGGGTGTATATCTACTACCGTTCCCACGACTAGCTTCCCCGTTGTCCACAAGATGACAAATGAACGCATCATGCTCTACAAAAGCTCTTGGGGAGTTGCTTCCGGGCTGAACGATACATGAACGGTGTTCAAAGCACAATAAACAGGAAGAGGCTCCTGCTGTGCCAATGTTTGTATGACTACAAGTTTCAATTGTAATGGGCAAGGAGTAGACGACTAAATTGTGACATTATAATGAGGATAAAAGCTCTGCTGAAGTTCTCATTCTTGGACCTTCAATTGAGAGAAGTACCCGTTGCGCACCAAGTCGAAAGTCCTCATTTCTTCATTCAAGCCGGCGGAAGAGGATCTCCGAGCCGGTTCCGGGCACGGAGGTGGGAGTGGCCAAACCCGGAACCGGTCCCCATCTGTCCGCCCCCGCTGTCCGCCCCATCCCTTTCTGCCGTTCACATCGACCCCGCAACGGCACTGGTACCGAGTAACCGAAAACGCGGCCCGGAACCCACCAGCGGAACTTCCGAAACCTTTCTTGCCCCGCCGTTCTTCCGAAAGAAAAACTTACCATATCCGGACATTGTCAGTGGTGGCTCATCGGACACGTGAGTACAACTGTTCTTGCCACTTTGGTAAGGTTTTGCAACCACGAGGTGGCCCAGACAACCAGAGACAAGACAGAGGAACAAAAGGACCCCAAGGAGGATCTAAGGAAAAGAAAACAAGGATGGGGGGGGGGGGGGAGAATAGGATGGAAAACGAAAACATTGTCTGATATGCTGAAAACAGACAGGATGCCTTCAGCACACCACGTCATCGAAAGGCCCGAATAGTGAGATACGCACACATCCACGCACCCACATACACACGCACACTTGCCGAGAGTTCGGACGGTTACACAAGGCCCGAGGGGGGGAGTTTCCGGGTGATGAGAAGCCAATGATGGAGAGTAGGTATAAATGCACAAAAAAAGATGGGTGGCTGCTATCCTTCTGCTTCGGTATTTCTCCGTGTGGTGGAAAGACTTTTTTTTTCTTTTTTTCTTGGGAGTGAAAAACGCCTTGCCGCCAACATACTTCTGCACGCAGGATATCTGGGGACCCATGGGAGAGGAGAGGGCTTGCCGCTTGAGTTTTGAGGCTTGAGGCGTAAGGCTTGGAGGGGAATTCGGAAGCGACAACTGCCGTAGCCTCCCATTTCGTGGCCATGCTACCGTAGTTTATCCCAAAGCTTTGCCTGCCGGGCACCACCCGGGCTGAAAGCCCGCAAGGCCAAGAGAGTTGAGGCATGTTGATGCCACTCTGTCACTGAACCCGAGGATTCTCTGTCTGACAGCTTTTCCCATCCCGTCAAAGGCGACGATTGTACCGGTAGTGGACAGGATAGACAACAACTAACCGGACATTTTGATGAACCAAGCTTGCCAAGGTCCCGAAAAAAGAGAACGAGATTACGCCGCGCGATCTGAGTCCAAGATCGACACCACGCTCCAAGGAAAACTTTGGCAAGAGTAGCCGGCCTCAGCGCTTGGTTTGGATGGGTATACGCGTACCCACGGGTGGAAGGGGGAGGGGGAGTGTGTATAGAAACAAAACAAGAAACCCTAGGAAATATCAAAGACTGAGATTTTCTTCAGAGTGATCAAAAAAGATCGGAGACAACCAACGAGAACAAAAAAAATACCGACAGGGTTATTGCAATACTAACAAACACGAGGTGGAGGATGGGGAGGCGAAGACATGAAAACGTCGTCCTTCTCGGCCGGTACCAAACTCGTTGTCAACGTCGGTCTCAGCAACCCCACCACCCTCACGAAGCAGACTCCAGCTGACAAGGGTTGATCACCACCATAAAATCCCTTTCGCAGCGATGTCCAGGAGAGTCATGTGTATAGCCGTCAAAGAGACGGAGATGCGGGAAGATTTTCAACAAGTTCCTTCCGTGCTGCCCCCCCCCCCCCCTTCGTGGGCGTTCTCCATCGTATGTTGAGGTGGGTTCCACACCGAACCCCAACCCCACGTTTGCGGACGTAAAGATGCTTTGCCCTAAACAAGGTAACTCTTCCCTTGTGCCCGTCTCGGCGGGACGCGGAATGAAGAGCGGATAGGGCGGTTGTTGACAAAGTTGTGGCTGTTCTGTCAAACTCGTGGCCTGGAGAGATTGAGTTTTTTTTGTCAGGAATGCAATCAGTTTCTTTCGAGGCGCGCGGCTCACGAGGTATGCAGCGCGCAGACAGAATCTTCGTAATCACTTAGGTTGGAAAACACGAATTGTAATATGTCATTGATAATCATGGACAGTAAATCTGTTCTCTTTGTATTGTAAAGGGAAATCATTAAACTACATAAGTCATGACGAGGTCAAAGAGCTAAAGTTGTATAGCGAACAAGATGTCCTCCGAGAGCAGAGGACAAAGGAGTGTTGAAGAACAGAAGAACAACAAGGCAAACGGCCCGCAGCGATCGCTAACCCCCCCAATAAAGCGTGTGATCATGGAATGAGCAAGGCATACAGAGTGCTGCATTCGTCGAGAAAAGGCGTCCAAGTGGGAGAGAAGAAAGAAATAAGAGTCATAAGTCGTTAAACAAGCACGAGGCCAAGACGTGGGCGTTAAACCTTTCCTGCAAGGTAGAGGATGTTCTCTTTGACTGCATCCGTCAAGTCCCCTTGTCCCGTGTAGACATAGGTGACTGTTTGGGACCACACTTCGGGATACGGTAATGGCAACTCGACAACGTCGCCAGCCTGGACTGTACCAGAGACGATGATAGCCGCCAACACCGGGAGTGAGGACCTGGCGTATTGGAGATCTGTGGGTGGGTTGGGTGTTAGCCTTGATTTCCCTGCCTTGTATTCGGGTAGGAGTGAGCCGGCCTTGGAGGCTATTGCCGAAAAGGTTCAAGTCCGCAAACGTCAGAGGGTATAAACTTAGGCAAGACATGACTTACGGATTGGTATAGTGTCGGCGCCACGCGATGAAGCCGCGCGGGGATCTCCAGATTTTAGCCCGCGGCTGTAAGGGAGCGTGCTGTGGATTGCACTGCTCGACCGTCTTCGTGCCGCGCTCGGTCTAGGAGATGAGACCTTTGGCAGCGGTGAAGTGGCCTGAGTATGCAGAGATGGCCGCCGTCTTTGATCCGCGGGAACAGGACTTGGCAACGGGTCCGCGATGGTGGAGCGTAACTGCTCAATGTCGAAAGTGTGAGTGATGAGCATCGGTTTGCGTTCCAGAGCTCGAGGACGAACTCGAAACTTCATTTGACGCTGGTGAGGTGGGAGAGTCGGCGTGGATGGCATTCGTGGAGGCGAAGAACCTCCAGCAGATTGATCCGAGTTGGTGCTCGCATTGGAGCTTCGACGATTAAGAGACATAGCTTGAACGAAGACGTCGGAGGTTTTGGCATCACCAAGATACACATGACCCCATGCTCGTAGCTGCTCAAGTTGAACGCGCTTCTCAGCCTCCCTGGACCTGGCGACGTACCCGGGTCCTGCTACAGACTGTCGTCGTTGTGCCTCTTCGCCCAGACCGGCGAGAAGCATCGATCGAGTTTCCGCTGCGAGAGTCTGCCTTCGAACACTGCTAGCCATAGGTGGTGAGACCGGAGTTGCTGATGGCGGCGGACCTGGCCGGCGAGGGCTTACAGGCGCAGCCGAATAACGTCTACCGTCACTTGCTGAGTGCTCTGCGAGAGGAGAAAGCGGACTCGGCCGGTTTACTGACTTGGGCGGGCTAAGGTCACCGGAGCCTGGAGCTTGTCGGAGTCTGGAGCCGAGGCGGTCGACCATGGCGCGCTCATGCTGTCTCATTGAGCCATCGTTGGAAGGAAATACCGGAGTGGGCAGGCTTTTGGGTGAACGATCGGATGGGCTGTAGTACGAGCTAGGAGCAGTAGGTCTGCTTGAAGTCGAGGAACGAGGGAATCCTCCTTGGTTATATGAAGGTGTCCATAGTGGGTGAAGGCTTGCCCGAGGGTGGCTCTCGATTGGGGTAGCCATGGCGATGTATGATAGTGATAGAGGTAATGCCTTGTAAGATATATCAAGTGGTGACTGAAGAAGGAAGTGTTCAAGTCAGGGTTTCGAGTAACAATGAATGGGCCCAAAGATCGGGATGTGCAACCAAGATGATGGGATGGCGGTGATGAGAGTCCAGAGTATGCAGCCCTGTAGGGATTTGATCAAGGGAGAAGAGCTTCTCTTATGTCTGGGGTGGATGGAGGGACGAAGAGGGTTAATTAATATCTTTGCGGAAGACCTTGTGAGCCACCTCAGTCTGTAAGTCTTGAACTTCTCGCCCACCAGTTTCTTTAGGAGCCAGAAGAGAGAAAGGGCACTTGCAGCAACTGCCGGGATCAGAAAATGAAAGGACTGGTAGGTACGGTAGGTCTCTGTCTCTCTCAAAGAAGACAAGAAAGACAGGCAAGGTGCAAAGAAGAACAGACTGACAGACTGTCACTGACAGAGAAAGGGTGTGCAAAGAAGGCGGCTGCAATCTTTGCTTTGGGCCCGGCAAGCCTAGGTGGGAGTGTAATGAGGAATGCGGTCGTAAAGCATGGAGTGACAATGAGCGGTTGCGGCCAACAGCCATGCCCATGTCACTCATTGCATATGAGAACAAAGGAGATGAGCTAGCAGGCGTGTGGGTTGGGTTGTCGGAAGCAAACCCATGGGACATGGCAGGCTTGAAGCTGAACGTCTGCAGATGGACACAGAGGAGAACAAAGGAATGTGGCTTGTCTGGGCCTTGATTCGTCATGTTTCTGGCGATACTATTGGCCTATTATGCATCTTCCTTCCCTGCCACCTTGAGGCCTGGGGGTGTACTGCGTAGCTTGTTGGCTTCGACGCATAGAAGCAGTTCCTATTGCTCTGCCCGCCTCTCATTCTCTCTTGGTAGACAGCCAGATCCAGGACTTTCGGCCCGGGAGTTGATACTTGGTGGCAGCCAGAGCAGCAGCAAGAAGACTGCAACCAACCAACACTTGAAAGCTGGAGGGGGGTGCGGTGACTGGGTTGAGACTTGCACTTGCGTTTCCACTTCCACTCGCACTCGCACCAGTCGAACTTGGCGTAGCTGCATCTGTCCATGTAGCTGTAAATAAGTTTCAAGACTACCGACACGGATGTGTAAGTTGTGAGGCTATAGTACTGTCTTCAGACCAAAGGGTACCCATCTTTTCCATGTAGAGCTGGGCTTGGGATGAATGCCGCAGTGAGGCCGGGGGCGAAACTGCAAAAGTGTGGAGTTGGAACATCAACGGCGTCGATATGTCTTGGAAGTTTGGCACAGCGGGAGATGGTTGCGGCCGTGATGGCGAAAAGTGGGAAACGGTGGAACAAGACGATGACAGCCAGCAATTGGGATCTCAGATCTCGATTTGTGATGGGTTGGAAAGACTGGAAAGGTGGAGGGGGGAGGCGAAGAATGGAGCTGACAAACGGATGAAGAGGTGCCAGTCTGGCAAAGACAAGAGATTCGGGTGTTTGGTTGGTTGATTTGCGCGGATGGATGAGATGGATGGATGGATGCGTGGAATGCGTCGTGTGCGTGGGAGACATGGAGGAATGAGACAACAACAGGATGATCAGCAACAATAACAACAACAAAAACGACAACGACGATAGAAATCATGAAAGGAAAGCTTAGAAAGATGCCTCGGAGGAAGCTCCTGGAATGCCCATGTTTGTGACGTGTCTGCCTTCGGTTGAGCTGTGCCTCTCCAAAGCTTGCCCCGTCCCCCCGAACTTTCCTTTGACAGCGGAAGGCACGGAGACAACAGGGGGATTTCTGCGTCAGGTATGCCGTAAGCCCCTTCCTTCCTCTCCGTGCCTCCGAAGCCATCGGACCAGGACCCACACGGTGGTACGGAAGGAGCTGTTCATTGGCTCTGCCCGTCTCTTCGCAATTCTTACATAATCTGTCAGGCAATACAGGTACGTATCTCGTCTGGCACACTTGAGGTAGACAATGGAAGGAGCTTGGACCACCTACACCAAGCTCCCGCTGCTGCTTCTGGCCAGAGTTCGTCTCGTCTTTTTTCCCAGTGGTGGAGAGAACAGAGAAAGAACGTCGAGGAAAGGTTGACGTTGCAATTACCGGTAAAACCACATCGCCAAAAGAGCAACAACCAACAGCTTGTTTTTTTCGCTGAACCGGGCAAAAGCAATGCTCGCTGTCGTCAAAACCATTCCCTTCTCTTTGGACATGCATTAAACATTTCCCACACTCCTTGTTGCTCCCAGAAACTAAAGAAACCAAACTCTCTTTCGACCCATCGCAAACATGTCCGACGCTACGGCCGCGAGCTACAAGAAGCTCAAGGAAGACTTTGTCTCCAATCTCTCTGGTGGCTCCGCCTCCGAAGTCAACTACGTGACTGCAGTTGCTCCCGTGCGTAACTATCTTCTTTGAACAGAAACTCTGACCTGTCCTCCTGATCTCCTGATCCCCCTGTTGCTGCTGCTGCCCCCCTTCACGTCCCAGGCGCCCCCGCGCAGCGCATGCATCGAGACAAAGCAAAGTGCTGACATTCGCATTCCTTTCCAGGTCGCCGTCCTGCTGTGGTCTGTACTCCAATCACGCCAATCCTTCTTCAAACCCTACACGCTATTGGGAGCTGCCGCTGATTTCCTCCTCAACGTCACCGCCATCCTCCTCTCCACGACTCTCTACGCCTCCTCCCCCTTGCTACTTTGCGCCCTCCTCCTCGGTCCCGCCGTATTCATCTACACTCTGCCTCCCAACTTCGGCGCCAGTCGCAAGAAGCCCGCCATACCACCCAATGCGAAGCCCAAGGCCGGTTCCGGCGCGGGGCCGCTCTCCGCACTGCCCGTGAAGCCTTTCCTGACACACTACCGGGGTAGCATGCTGGTCATCACTTGCATCGCCATCCTCGCCGTCGACTTCCGCCTCTTTCCGCGCCGCTTCGCCAAGGTCGAGACATGGGGAACATCACTGATGGACATGGGCGTCGGGTCCTTCGTCTTCAGCGCCGGTGTTGTCGCTGCTCGGCCCGTCTTGAAAGAGCGCGCCGAAGGTCGATCGATACCCCTGACGACACGTCTGCTGCAGTCGATGCGCCACTCCTTACCGCTACTCGTCCTGGGCGTCATCCGCTTGCTCAGCGTCAAGGGTCTCGACTACGCCGAACATGTCACCGAGTATGGGGTTCACTGGAACTTTTTCTTCACCCTGGGTTTCCTGCCGCCGTTTGTTGCCCTCTTCCAATCCGCGCTCAAGGTTGTGCCTAGTTACGCCGCTCTGGCAATCATCCTGAGTGTGCTGTATCAGGTGGCTCTGGAGAGCACCGACCTCAAGGCTTACATCCTGACCGCACCGAGAACCGACCTATTCTCAAAGAACCGAGAGGGTATCTTCAGCTTCTTCGGCTACCTGGCTATCTTCCTTGCGGGACAAGATACGGGAATGTACGTCTTGCCTCGGAGTCTCAACACCAAAAGCGATTCCACCCCCGCTACTCAGCGCAAGACTCTTCTCATGATGATGGCCATTTGGTCTGCTGTGTGGACAGGGCTTTACTTTTTGACCACCAGCAACAGCTACGGCGACGGTCTGAACGTTTCACGTCGCCTCGCGAACCTGCCCTATGTCCTATGGACAGCGGCGTTCAACTCGACACAACTTCTAGCCTATGCCCTAGTGGACACTTTCTGCTTCCCGTCCTTCTACAATGCGACTGACGCGAAGACCGAGAAGGAGGCTTACCATACAGCGACCAGTAGGGTATTCCGCGCCTACAATCGCAACGGCCTATTCTTGTTCCTCATCGCAAACGTCTTGACGGGACTGGTCAACATGACGGTGCCGACACTGAATGTTGGACCCATGGCAACGATGGGCATCTTGGTTGCGTACAGTGGAGCAATCACGGCTATTGCTCTCGGACTGGACGAATTCAATATCTCCATCAAACTATAGATGATGTCGAAATAAAATTTCGAGTTACACGACTACAAACATCTCACCCTCCATGTGATACTGGCTCAGAAAGCCGGGTAGACGATGTCTCATCGAGGCACTACATCAACGCCTGTTCGGATCCGGCAGGTTGTTCGAGGATGGCCAAGCCGCGAGGCATCCGATAAACTTCCATGGAGATAGGCGGTCGCTGCTGACAAGAGACTTAGAAGCCCGACAAACCCGGAGGATACGGGCTATGAAGACGGAGCCACCGGAAAACTGCAGACAGTCAGCTGAGTGATTACAGTCTGACATCAAAGAATTTCCCAAATGGACCTCTCCTCCGAGGCTGTTGGATTGGACAAATCATGCTGCATTCCGGTGGTACGACAGCAAAAATCTCACTGCTAGCAAGAAAAGAGAAAGCCATCACCGCGGCGTGGACAAAGCTTTTTTTTTTTTTTTTTTTTTTTTTGCAAGACCCTCGGTTGGGCGTAACTTTGGTATTGCTCTTCGAATGAGTTGACCAGGCATGCGGATCCGTTGCATTGACGGGTTTGTCCCTCGATCCACACCGCCGGGGTTTTCTTTGGAAATCTTCTAGAATACTCGGTGAGCTCAGACTGAAAGCACTGGGACGAGAACAGGGCTGGCTATGGGCAAGGCGAGGCGAGAGGCAAACAGGAAAATTCCAACAACAACAACAAAATGGTTACCAAAAACTTGGTCCAGGTCACCGGTTGGTTGGTTCGAGATCGTCGGGAACCCCGTTTGGACGCAATTCCGCATACCGACCAACACTACTTTCGCATAGTCGAACGCGTGGACTTTTGTCTCTCTTTCTCTCTCGGATGTGGGTTACTTCCCGTTTCCCCCTCTGCCGAGTGATTACCTACGGACCCTACGGATACGTACGCTGGTGCGGCCCTGCGGAACACACATCTGGGTCGGCACACGAAAGATCCCTGGGCAGGAATCCGATGTCCGGATACGGGTGGTTCGTCAACGTGTTTGCTCGAACCGGCCGGGGTCGTCCCTGTTGGCCTTTGGGGGGGGGGGGGGAATCATGGATTGGGCCGCATGGCCCAAGTTGAAGTTGGGTAATGGGTTATTTGAAGATGGGGTTTGGGACTGGGACGGAGTTCTGTGAGATTAAATAAGACGCGTCGCGCCTTTTTCGCGAATTTCCCGAGCCTTTGATGAGTGGGCTCGTCTACTGTTTGTTCGTGGAGTCGTCGCTGGTGGTCGTCCATCATGTGGTCCCTCATCATCGTCTTCGTTGTTCACTACTCAAAGGGTCTTATCCTTCGCTGTCGATGAATTTGGTTTGACGACAGTTTTGGTGATTGTATTCGGTATAGAAGGGAGGCTACGTTCGCCTGGTATTTGACTGAAATAGCGGACGATAGTCCGCGAAAACCCCAATATGATGTCACTGGACAACATATCCACCGTGGTATTAATGGCCCAAGTGCCGAGTCTGGCTGGGCTGTCCCGGGCTGATCTTCTTGATGGGGTAGCTCGCTTGCTCCAGAACCGGGGGAGACGAATGACAATTTGGCTTAATTGACTGATGTATGATCATGGGGTGACCATTCGGAAAGACCTGACCGAGAGGGTCTTTGGGCAGTCAAACTTCTCGAAAGACAGAAGTTGGCCGACATTTGACAAACCCCTCCTCATCAGCACGTGCATTTTTTCAGGATGCGAAAATGCTCTTGGGGACGCAAATCTTAAAGGTGCCAAGTGACATGACTTGCGGCCAGCCCTGAATCCACTAAATTGGCAAATCGAGCCGGGGCATTTTGAGCTGGCTTACAAGTAGAGATTCAGAAGTTCAGCCTGCTCATGACGGACAGGTTGTATTTGGGCTGACGCAGGCAAACCCCGGTCAAACGCCGTGCGCCTCATCTCCGATGTTAATGCTGGCTAGATGGTGGACGCGACCTTGGTCGTCTTTGCAAGTTGGTTATGAGCAGACAAACCATTGGCGCCTTCACAAGGACATAGCAAACGGTATTCGCCTTGAAATCGGTACTGCCCTTACTCAGAGAACTTGGTCATTGCAAATCGGCTCAGTCAGCTCTGTATTGGGCTTGACAAGCTGAGCAAACGGCTGGGCTTTGTCCAGTGTGGTGCATCGCAACCAATCAGCGAAATATCAGAATGCTTTGGTTCGCATACAACACCAATCTGCCGCGGGTAGGCGTAAGTTTAAGCTCCAAAGTGAAAATGCGTATGGAGGAGATCTCCAATGGCAAAGACAAGCGAATAGTCTGAAGTGGAATGGAGCCTACTTCGTTTGGGGCCTGCGAAATGGAATTCTCTCCACGAGGGTGGAACGCCTGTATACAAGTAGATAGAAGGTCTGTGATGATTGATTACAATGAGACAGGCGAATCAAGATGAAGTGAATTGATGACAAGGGTGAGTAAGCTGGAGAGTGAAGCGTGAAGACCCAGAAGCTTGGTGGAATAAGGTAGATTCGAATACGTGCGTACCTTGCATTGACGATGGCTGAGGATAGCCGCCGAGTGAGCCAGTCAAGTATTAAGATGAAGGTAACTTCGTTAAGGCAAGGGATGCTGCGTGATATTCGGGTAACCTCGTGGGTGAATGAACCTCGACTCGCCCTTGAGCCATGCGCCATCAGATCCAACCGCTTGGTGCGCATAAATATTGGAGATTCAGTAAAATGCGAAGGCGATGGCGACGACGACATTAAGATGGATGTGTGGGGAGGCGAGCACTGCCAAATGACATGCGATGCGCAAACACGCGATCCGTCGTTTGAGGAGCGAGGGGAACTCGACAGTCCGGTCTCGCAGACACTGCCCGCCAGCCAGTCAGGTTCTGGACGGTAATTTGAGAAATGCAGCCTGCCACGTCAATGCAAGGGACCTCGCTGCGGTCTCAAGCGCGTAAACTAGCAGCCATCTGCAATTAATTATGCCGCAGCTCACAGGACGATCCTGTCCGTCTGAGTATTTGTATAGAGCCGCGTTTGCACCAAAATGCACGAGGCAGAAGAACGTGGTACAGTTGACTGACTGGAGATACAAGTTACCGGTACAGCTCCTGGTCAACAATGGACACGGAGGATGGGATGGAATCGGACGAAATCCAAATCGTTGCGGGAGGATCAGGACAGTCGACCGGTTTGGGCAGTGGTGCGGCAGCAGCTGGTCCTGGTGATGATGACAAGTCAGAACGACATGACCCCTGGACCATGTCGATACCCCGGTCTTTATCGCCTGGATGCCCAGCCCACCAGCAGGGGTATGAGGTGTTTCGTTTGACGGTGGTCGACTAAACGCAAAGGTAAATCGTGATGCGACTCTGTAGCTTCTGTAGTATACTGCTGCATAAGGAAAGGGCATCTGCCCTCAATGCGGTTCGGTCGTAGAGGCTTCGAGATATTGACGATTAATTGGTGCTGGGCATGAATCGTGGGAAAAGTTGCATCTGCGTACCACTGCGGGCGACGCCAACCACGCTCGGCACCATGCATCGCATCTCGCCCCGCAGGCGATGACTTGTGGAGGGCGTCGAGATTGGAACTGACGGCCAGTAGCCAACTTGCTTTCGGACGGCGAACTGCTGTCTGACACCATGTTGACCTTTCCAAACTAGGCGCACGCTCAGTCATTTGGTTGGAGAGAATGAGAGAGATGAAGAGAGAGAGAGAAAAAAGACGTGAGCTTACAGCGGGCAGATATTCGTAGATGGGGTGCATGATCCTCGATAACCCTTGTCGAGGGGTCATCCCATCTCCAAAAACGAAGCACATGGGGTTGGGCATGAAGCTGGAGTGTTGCTAAGTTGCCGGAGCGTGCGAAGCGGGAACCTTCAGTCTTCTCGAACGAAGTGGGTCACGAATTGGAGGCTCGATGCCAGCTTGATCTATTCGTACGAACCCAACGGGCCAATTAGTCTGTTGCATCGAGAGCCCGTCAGCGTTGTGCTCATGCTGACTAGATTCCTTGGAAAACAGCGTCTGAGTTGTCGAGGAGAGAGCTCGAGCTTCAGGTGAAGTCGGGTTCGGGTGTCACGTCAATCGTCAGGCCGAGGGCAGATCCCAGCGTGCTTGAGAAGCTAGAGCAGCTAAAGCGGCTGGTAGAGATTTGCATCCTTGAGACAGCAGAACATAGTAGGATCCGGTAGAAGGTGAGTTACAGAGATGATGTTTGGAAGAAATCATCCACTTCATGTTCCATGCGAGAAGGTAAGGCAGTAAGGTATATCAGGCAAGGAAGGAACTTGGAACCTCCTTCTATTGAGTGAAGTGGGCAGGTACCGGTTTGGCTGAGAAGTGGAGTGGGAGGGAAGGAGCGGACAGGAAGAATTGATAGACGAGGCAGGTGCGACATGCTGCATCACTCCTTCCTTCTCCGCCGCCACCCGTCTCCGTCTCCTCCGTACCTTACGGTACCTTACCGGAGATGCTTTGCCTACCTGCTCCCATTCTTCCTTTCCTCTTCCCCTCCCATCCGAGTATCGCTCATCATTCACGTATTTTCTGAACAATAATTGAGTGTACGGAGTAGGTATGTATGTGCGTGTCATTTGCATTGGGCCTCAAAGCTGGTTGATATCGAATTCCAGCCACTCCCTTCCACATTCACATGTACGAGGAAGTGGGACACCAATCAACAGCTGCAAAATTTCAGAAATGGCGCCAGCGCCGGTGCAAGTTCTCAGCACCACCATCCGCACTAGCCACACCCACAACCACGTTTCGGCTCTTGTGCAACGCCTTCCTGCTCCCGCGCCTTGAGTCTTGAGGTACACAAAGGTTCAAAGCCTCCTCTTGACTTACACAGGCTTCTGCACTGCTCTGGACTGAGACGTTAAGTCAGACACGCCAATTCGAAGCATACCTACCCGTCTGCGACAGTTTTCAGACTGGGTGGAAGATGATTTATCGTTCGACTACGGAGTACAACTATTTCACTAGGCAGTAGGTACTAGACACTAGACGCTAGACGTAGACAGTTGTGGTCTCGACTCTCCCATCTGAGCCCCGCACGTCAACTTCATCTTGATACCTACCTACCTTGAATACGAAAGGGGACATCAGTCCATTCCGGCGCCGCTGCATTGAGGTGATTATTGGGGACGAATGCCTACCTTGACCCCCGGGACAGCTGCCGACTGCCAGCAGAACAGGCCGAGAAAGGTCACGGAAGTTGGAACCAAGGAAAAGACCAACCAAGGGAGAAAAGAAACGACAAATTGCCCACTGGCCACAATCCGCGCCGGCCCTCTGGAAAATTGGTGGTGCTTGGACAGCCGTAAGTGAGATAATTTAACGAGACGGCATGTCCTCGCTCTTTTCTTGCTACAATCAATACGACCCAGCCAAGGTGGTCACGGTCATCCACTCAGTTGAGGCGGAAACAGTGCTGCGTTTCTTCTCTCTCTCTCGGTTCGGCTCAATTCAGCTCGACGGAATCCTACCTCAAGGTACCTCACCTTCCCTTGGCCTCGATCTCACCTCACATCTAGCCGGCGAGGACGACTCTACCTACCTTAGGTACCTATCAGCCAAGGTACCTCGCAGCACGCAGTATCTTACTCTGGCACCTGCGCCTCTCCTACCACGTCCATTACTTGCAGTGTGCAGCGCAAGGAGTGTCATAGACGAAGCACTCAAGTACGAAAGCACGAAGCAGGAAGCAATCAGTCGCGGTTGCATGTCGCAGTCGCAGTCGCAGTCGCAGTAGTGGCAGCGTTAGCGGATATTAGCGAGTATCTGGTACCTGCATTCCGTCCCTAGTTGCATGTACCGCACCTGCTCCCTTTTTCCCGCTTTTCTCCCCTGAGGCCCACGCACATCTCCGCCTTCACTTTCCCTGGGCGATACTTACAAGTTGCATTGCACCTCACCCCTGCAAGTACACGATACCCCCGGGGGCCTACCTTGGTATGGAGTACGTAGTAAGGTATTCGACCAGGGAATCTCTCAATCGCGCGCTTTCTCTGTCTGCCTTTCTCGCGCCCGCCGCCCGCTCACTCACACCCACTCTCTTGACGTCTCTCCTCTCTTTTCGAGACTGACTGACTGACCAGCGACCTGGGGCTTGTCTGTTCCAGTTCTTGTGCTTCCGTTCCTCATTGCGCGCGCTGTTCCAAATATCGGGCGCACTCAGTCTCCAACCTTGGACCGGCTCCATCCAGCTCGTCCTGAGTCTCATCTCTTCAATTTCATTCTGACGAGCACGAAGACGTCTGACCGTCCGTTCCTCCTAACTATCTCTCTTCCTCTCTTTCTCTCCCTCGCCAAAAAAACAAAGGAAGAAAAAAAAAAAGAAGCCAAGACGAGGCCCATTCCCAATCCCGCCTGTCTCTCTTCTCTCATTCTGGACTGGTTCGCCCTCAATCGCCCTCCACATCTCGACTTCCACCGCCTCTCGCTCCCAAAGTCCAACTTGGGCTCTCACCGCGCATTACCTCATCCCACTTGTACCTGGATTCGCTGCGCCAACGTCTCCGTTTGGTCTGCGTTGGCCGTGTCTGGTCTTGTTTTTCTGACCGGCGATCCAACTCGCTCCGATAGTCTGCCTCTAGTTTCGAGCCCGCCGAGGTAGAGAAGCGCGCCATCGACAACTTCAACCGTCGACAAAAAGCCTACAATCAGACTCGGGCCTCCCGCACTCATTATCGTCATTGGCGATAGCTCCCTCTGATCGTTCCAAGCCAGACCAGATAAGACTTGAGTGGTTCGGTAAAAGGCAATTGGTTCCAATCAAAACATACTGGTTTCCGACCGCCATACTGCATCCAGCCTGCCTCTTGACCCTCGACTAGGGTCACCTCACCGACACGACTGACTGGAACTGTTTTCCTACCGCTCATTCTTCCTCCTGTCTGCACCCCCGTCTGGTCTCAGACGGTGTCAAAGGACAAAGGTTCAAAGCCATAGGTATCAATCCGTCGCACAGCCTTTCACCACAGCAGAGTGTGTACGTGCACCACTGCCCCTTTGTCGCGTCACTGTTCCCAGTGTTGTTGCTGCATTGACTCGACTCGACTTTACCGCCCCAAAACGATCGTCGCCGACACATTTCGTCAGGGTCGAGCTACAGTAAACAACAAATCGCAACCATCAACCAAGGGGGGAAGAAAACAATTGACCCCTTCCGCCCACACCATGAGATAGACTGGCCCAATTCATTGGTACACCAGACACTCACAACACGGCCTATCCAAGGACCCTAATACCTCCAATCGGGCTTGTCCGTCCCATACCAATTCAGGGCGAATTAATTCCTGCAGCTCAATAATTCCAGCGTCCTGAAACCTGGTGCCCAGCGAGCAACTTTACCTCGCTGAACAGCATTCGCTTACGGACCTCTTTCTCGCTTCTCAATTCTCCGCCAACATACCAGCCTCCCTTGACCCCCTTCCAAAACGCACCAACATCGCAGACCGACATCTTAGCGACAATCGCGGGACCAAAACACGCCAGACTAGGACCGCCGCCCAGTCGAACTCTATTTCCTTGCGCGCTTGCGTTTCCACTGTCGCAAAAGCATATCCTCGGCCGCTTTGCAGCCTGCCCATCACACAACAGCTTTGGCATCACCGCCTTTGGTCGCAGCCTCACCGAGCAGCCGGCAGTACACGTCGAACCACTCTTCCCCATCTCGCGAGGCGTACAATGCCAATTTGCAACACAACTTTGCCTCTCCTGCATCGTCACAACGCCCTCCGAGCCGACCGAGCGGAAACGGCGCGTCTGTAAACACTCAGGACCCAACTTCGCCCATGACGTCCCGAGTTGTCCCCGCCAGCCCCGTCGCCGTCGCGCCCTCTTCCCCAGACTACCAATCCTCATCCTCCGAACAACGAAGAAACATGCCCCCAGTCGCCCCCCCTCGAACGTCCTCGACGAATTATTCGGGCGCTACTACCACTACGACCACCACGAAAAGACGCGATCACGCTGCCGAGAAGGCGGCATCGTCACCGCGACGCGGTCAAGCAGACGGAACGAATGGTAATGTCGATTATACCTACTCGGATGACGGTTCTGCTTCACGCAGCAGAAGATCGCATCAACAAATGCCTCCTGATTCTCCCCATCGATCCAGCGGCAACCGACCTGGGAGTCAGCCGACGGTGATTCCCGTACGATCACATGCACCTCAGACAACAGCATCACCAAAGCAGCCCACGCGCGAAGCAAGCGAGGTTCTCAATCGAATGGTGGTCTCCCAGCCCGAAGTAGACATCGCTCGCGAGAAGGAACGACTAGCAGAAGCTCAGTCTACCCGCATAGGATCATCACATGATGACGCCGCGCCTCCCCCGATCGGTATGTCCGAGCATGATGACGGCAGACGTGGAGGTAGAAGCCGTCATGATCATTCCGGGAAACGTGAGAAGGTAGTTAGATTTGGCGACTACGTTCTTGGAAATACCATCGGTGAGGGCGAGTTTGGAAAAGTAAAGCTTGGCTGGAAGAACGATAACAATGTGCAAGTAAGTTAACGACCCGCTGACATGCCTCGAGATTCTTGCTCACACTTCGTCACCAGGTCGCTATCAAGTTGATCAAGCGGGATAGTGTCGGCAACAACCCTTCCAGATTGGCCAAGATCTATCGCGAAATTGCGATTCTACGGGGCATTTCTCACCCTAACATCGTTCGCCTTCACGAGATGGTCGAAACCGAGAGGCACATTGGTATCATTCTTGAATACGCCTCTGGTGGTGAGCTGTTCGACTACATCCTGAACCATCGCTATCTGAAGGACAATGCCGCGCGAAGGCTGTTCGCCCAACTAGTGTCTGGTGTTGGTTATTTGCACAAGAA